TGCATTCATTGTCACATCTTTTATTGTTTGCCATTTGTTTCTCACATTGATTCTGATTTGGAAATGATTAGGAATTATGATAACAGGAAAACAATATGGTAATGATAGCTATGGCTCATATTGTCATTTTTTGTAACGTCATCCTTATTCTGTGCTTATCATCATCATTTGTTTATCGTAACACTGATTCTAATTGACGAAGCATGTGACGTTGGTAGCCAAATCTCCTCTTCAAGTATAACAGTGGATGGACGTTCGAAGCAATTCTCACTCTCGCACTTCAGATTTTTCCCGTTCCTTACAGATCAAGACGTATATTTGTATCATTTTAACTGTAGTAGTGTTAAATCATCACAAAAAAGTTGTGTTACAATAAACAGTCGCAGAAATAAAATTAGTTGGAGTTCATCCCCTAACGGATGCCACCATTCGCAAGCATCATTTCGAACTGAGTAATCAGTCACGTTGGTTTACATCTTTCCATGAATTCAGCAGCAAAATTATTGAGAAGAAGCTGAAGATAAATGGACGATTGCGGATTCATTGGATAAGCAATGGGAAACGATTGAACGAACATTTTGTTTGCAGTCTCCACCGTCGTCACCAGTTATCGGGTGTCTACATTCGATGTCACAACGATTATTACCAATCAGTGACGAACGACAGCCAAACACAATTGTTTTACGCCGTAACGATGTATTCTTGATCTCCAGCAATTCACGTTCCCAACTGAAAATCGATTCATTGATCACGTCGAACATTTATTTCACTCTTCTCCTTTTGCAGTTCCTTAAATGCGAGAAGCAATGATTTTATTTGAATCATTTTTAGCCACAAAATTCTGTACCAAATATTCGTGAAGTGCATTAATGGTTATTTCATGGGCATAATCGAATCCACCGAATAATTGAATTCGTCGTTCTCGTTACAATTCTTATTCTCAATCTAAACTGAGCATTTCACACTCGAATAGCTCTCTTTCATACATATTTCTGTACATTGGCCATGGCTATATTAAATGTAGATAGATATGATGTGTTTTTAGGCGTGCAATTCAATTTGTCACTTATTATCGTCACATATTTATTAGAGATCTTATCATTATATTAAGTTTGTCTCGCCTACAACGGTTCAGAATTCCATTAGGTTCAGAATTGTGACAAATATCCTCTAATTCAATTTACTTTAGAACATGGATATTCCACCGGATATTGATGTAGGATTTGAGTTATCTCAAGGCGAAACACGTTAGCTTTTATAGATTATGCAATCGCTGAGAAGTGCAATTAAGAATGGGATTCGAGCAATCAGTGGGTGTGTTTCTTTTTTGGAATGATGACGCAGATGCATCTTTTTGCTGTGCATTCCAATAGTTGAATGGTTTTTGAAATTATGAAGAA